GAGGAATCTAAAATGGCTGAAAGACACATAAGAAAGTGTTCAACATCCTTAGCCATCAGGGAAATGTAAATAAAAACAACTATGAGATACCATCTTGCTCCTGTCAGAATGGCTAAAATAAAAAACTCCAAATGACAGTGTATGCTGGAGAGGATGTGGAGAAAGGGAAACACTCCTCCACTGCTGGTGGGAGTGCCAACTCGTACAGCCACTTTGGAAATCAGTATGGCGACTCCTCAGTAAAATGGGAATCAGTCTACTACAAGATCCAGCAATTCCACTCTTTGGCATATACCCAAAAGAAGCACATTCATACAACAAGGACATCTGTTCAACGATGTTCATAGCAGCATTATTTGTAATATCCAGAACCTGTAAGCATCCTAGATGTCCCTCAACTGAAGAATGGATAGAGAAAATGTGATACATCTACACAATGGAGTACTACTCAGCAGAAAAAAACAATGGAATCTTGAAATCCAAAGGCAAGTGGATGGAACTAGAAGAAACCATTCTGAGCGAGGTAACCCAATCACAAAAAGACAAACATGGTATGCACTCACTCATCTAAGGATTTTAGACATAGAGCAAAGGATTACCAGCCCACAATCCATAATGCTAGAGAAGCTAGGAAACAAGGAGGACTCTTAAGAGAGACATACATGGTCCCCTGGAGAAAGGGAAAGGGACAAAGATCTCCTGAGCAAATTGGGAGCATGGGGGAGGGGAGAGGGAGCTAGGAGAATGAGAAGGGGAGAAGAGGAGGAGTGAGGAGGACATGAGGGAGCAGGAAGGTTGAATTGGAGGAAGAATAGAGGAAAGCAAGATAAGTGATACCATAATAGAGGGAGACATTACAGGTTTCAAGAGAAATCAGGCACTAGGAAAATATCTGGAGATCAACAAAGATGATATCAACTAACAATCTAAGCAACAGAGGGCTTGCTGCCTTAAATTCCCTCCCCTGATAATGAGATTGATGACTGACTTATATGCCATCCTATAGCCTTCATCCAGCAGCTGGTGGAAGTAGAAGCAGACACCCACAGCTAATCACTGAACTGAACTGGAACCCAGCTGCAGAAGGAGGAATGATTAGCAAAGGGGTCTAGACCAGGCTGGTGAAACCCACAGAAACAGCTGACCTGAACAAGGGGAGCTCTTGGTCCCCAGACTGATAGCTGGGAAACCAGCATGGGACTGATCCAGACCCCAGGAACCTGGGTGTCAGTGAGGAGTCCTTGGAAATCAGGCCTTCTGTAGTAGATCAGTACTTATCCCTAGCATAGGTATGGTCTTTGGGAGCCCATTCCACATAGAAGGATACTCCTGAGCCAAAACACATGCAGGTGGGCCTAAGCCCTATCCCAAAGGATATGACAGACTCTGAAGACCCCCTAAGGAAGGCCTCACTCTCCCTGGGGAGCAGAAAGGATATGTGATAGGTAGGGTTTTAGTTGGGGGGGGTGTGGTAGGGGAGGAGGAGAGGGAGAGGGAACTAGGATTGACATGTAAAACAATCTTGTTTCTAATTCAAATTAAAAAATGGAAAAAAGAAAAGAATTTTAGAATCATAGAAACAGAAAGTACCTGAAAATATGGAGCTACAGAGGTACCCTGCTCCAAAATGATCACCCGAGGAAGTGTTTCTTCCTGCTCCTCTCCCTACCACTGGGAGGTCAGCTTTAATCGTTAACATGACACAACCTAGAAGCTCCTGGGAAGAGTCCCCATGACCAATGGTCTCCGTTGGGGTGGCCTGTGAATATGCTTGTGGAGATTGTCTTATTTAAGTTAATCATGGATGTGGGAAGACCCAGCCCATTGAGGGTGGCAACATTACCTAGGCAGGGGTCCTGAACTATGTAAGAGTAGAGGCATTAAGTTGAGCAGAAGCAAATGATCATGCAAAGTTGCATGGGTTCATTTCACCCTGCTCTTGATTGTGGATGCCATTGTTATGTGACCAGCTGTGTCAAGGTCCTGTCACTGTGACTTCCTTGCATGATGGATGTGACCTAATTTAAGCCCTTCTCTCCTAGGCTGCTTTTTGTTGGGCTATTTTATCGCAACTGAAACGAAACTAGGACACACACTAAAATAAAAATTAAACAAAAATCGCATTGCTATAATACTTGCATGTTTTAGGAAGGAGATGTGCTCAGCACGTAGAATGTCTTAATAATTGTAAATAGGCTCTGTTGAAGGTATTGTTTAATTACATAAAGTAGGAAAATGTACAGATCAAGTCGCCCCAGTTAAGGGTAACTTAATGAATATCTTGTCGAAAATCCTGGAGATTTCTGTAAATGAATGTTTTTGATATTGACATGGAATTAGAACTCAGATGATGTCTTTCAGCAAGTCTTTCTTCTTCAAACTTTCAGCTTTAGATGATCAAATACTTAATAGCAGATTGGATTAAATGAACTCTGAAAAATATAAATGTAGATTTTAAAAATAGTGTAAGATGATAATAGCAATGGAAATAATTTATCTGATGATTAACCGACTTTGTATTTTTCTGCCTTTTCTTGCAGAAAACACACCATGAAGTGCCTTTTCTTCTTTCTTTTTCTTTTTTTTTTTTGGTTTTTTGAGACAGGGTTTCTCTGTGTAGCTTTGGAGCCTATCCTGGCACTCACTCTGTAGACCAGGCTGGCCTCGAACTCACAGAAATCTGCCTGCATCTGCCTCTAGAGTGCTGGGATTAAAGGCATGCACCACCAACACCTGGCACTACTTTTCTTCTTATTTCTGCAAAATACCAGCATAAGGGAGGAAAGGCTTGTTGGGACTCATGGTTTCAAAGATGGGAAGGCAGAGCTGAGTGGCTCTGTGCATAGCAGCAGGAATATGAGCCTCTGCTTTTCACATGACAGCAAGAAAACCCAAACCAACATAGGTTTTCCCTCCATGACCTCTTCCTGTCAGCTAGGCCCCATTTCCCAAAAAGTCCACAAACCTCCAAAATGATGCCACCAGGTGGAAACTGAGTATTCAAACACATAGACTGTGGAGGATATTTCTCATTCCACTGGTAACATTCCCAAATTCCTGACCCCCACAGTCTCAGGCCAACTCTCACTTGACCAAACTTCAAAAGTCTCTAGTGTTAATAACCCAATACTGTTCAAAAGCTCAAAGTGAAATTCTTCCTAGAATCAAAAACAGTGTCTAAACTGTGAACTCAAAAACAAAGAAGATTTTTAAACACCTACAATATGCAACATAAACTGAATATTCCCTTTCTAGTAGGGAGGGTTGAAAGAATAACAAGACTGGTGCAAAAGAAGACCAGAATCCAGCTTGTTCACATCACAACAGAATAACCCAGTAAAGAAATGTTCAGTTCTGAAACTGTGCTGTCCAGTATCCATAGCCTGTAGTGGTATTGTCTGGGCTCCAACAGGCTTGGGCATCTCCTCACCTGTGGCCATGGCAGTTGCAACACAACAATATGGCTTTTCTCATGGGCAGGCTCAACTTGGTGCCAATTACTTTCCTCAGCAGACAGTCTATGTTCCATCTCCAACATCCCAGGAGACTTAAGCCTAGGTTTCACCTTAGCAGGTTCACACACTGACTCCCCAGGGCATCCCTGCAGGGACAATTACCATACCACACATTGCCTGGCCATATTGACTTTTCTCTGGAGCCTTGGTGCAAGCTCTGTTTCCTCATAGCTCTTGCATTCTTCATAGGGGAAAGACAGTGTCATGTGGGTGATACCAAATTCTGCTGCCACCTTGAGAAGCAGATGGGTCCCTGAGGTCATGGATGCATGGCTCTGTGTGCAGTGGCAGGATTGTGAGGCCTTTGCTTGTTCACATCACAACAGGAGAACCCAGTGAAGAAATGGCCCTTGTAGAGAGTAAGGGTGTGAACAGACCAATGACAGACGGTGGGAATGCTGACAGAGCAGGAGGGCTGACATCTAGTGCATCCATGGATTTAAACTGGGAGCTATCAGCATGAGTGTGATGTTTGCATTGCTTCTTAGGGGAAGGCCCAGGGAAGGGAAGGAGAGCCTTGGGTGAGTTTGGACAACAGATACAACAGAAAAAGAGAAGGGCAAAGGAGTAGGACACACCCAAAGGAGTGATGCCAAATCCCAGTGTTGAACTGACAAAGGGTAAAAGAAGATCTTTGGCATCATGTAAACACAGTATTGAGGATTCCAGTGATGTGGTGATGGGGAATGTACTGTGTATGTTCATCTTATTGATTGTTAAATAAAATACTGTTTGGCCAATGAAACAGGAAGTAGATGGGACTAGGAGTCAAAGAGGATTCTGGGAAATGTAGTAGAGAAGTGATGATCCAGGCAGGAAGTGACATAGCAAGGAGACTCATATATAAGCGAGGAAACAGGAAGTGTGTCTCTTTTCCCCTCTGCTCCTGCTCCAGCGGCACAATGTGACCCACAGGCAAGGAGGAACGCCAATAAGGCATCCGATAAGTCTTATAGAATATATATAGGTTTATGATAGTTAAGACTGAGCTAACAGATGAGACTCCTAGTCATTGGCCAAGCAGCATTGTACCTAATACAAGTTTCTGTGTATTCATTTGGGCCCTAACTCAGGCGGGTGGCTGGTGTAAAGCACACATGTGGCAGTGGGGCTCAGGCGGCTTTTGGCGGAAAGATTTAACGTAACAATGTGGACCTACAAGTTTGTGCTTATCCCATTGTAGCCATGATTCTCAAACTCAAGGAAGCATAAGAATTATCTAGGAACTATATCAATATAGATTTTGAAGTTATCCTCAGGAATTGTGGGACAAAGAAGTTTTTTTTTTTTTTCATTTTAGTGAGTAGATAGATATGACTGGCTTAGAGATCTATGAACCAACCTGTAAGAAAAATATTATATTGAAACAGGTTGCTCTGCTATTTGTTATGCTTGCTCCTTCACAGCCAGGAACCAAGGATGTTTTGGGTATTTGGATCTCTTGACATAACTAAAACCACAATACTGTACAGAGTCACACTGTAATGAGTGAGGCAGCCAGCAACTTTATTTTGCTATTTCAGTTGGATTCTGAGGACAAGCAGGGATACAAATATGACATCCAATTTTGATTCTGAAAATGACTTCAGCACGGTTTCACGTCCCAAGCATCTGTCTTCCAGAAAGCCAGAGAACTGTGCTCTGTAGGAGGAGAGGAAAGATGTACAAGAGAGACAGTCATTTCTTAAATTTTCTAAATAGCTCAGCCAAATCAAATACCTCTTATATGTGTGTTGAATAAATTTAATTCTAGGAACAAAATCATTTAGTGTGAGGTTTCAGTGATGGGGAAAAAATGGGCAAGGATAAGTCATTCATGTCCAAGAAGACAAAATGAAAGGTTTTTTTATAACTCTGATAGACAAGACTAAAAGGGGGAAATCATATTCACCCTTTACTTATTCCCTAGGGCATCAAGAGTGCAGCTTCTGTCTGAAGACCATAAGGAAAATGAGACTGAAAAAATATGGCAATGAAATTCTGATTTTTAAATTAATTCATCCTAGTAGTTTCCCTAATGATTTGTACTAAGTCCATTGCACTTTGTCAATTTTAAATTTACCATCTCACTATGGTTCTATCCTTTTATTTTATTTTATTTTATTTTTGTGTAAGTGCACATGGGTGTGGAGACCAGACCTCAACATTGGGTGTTCACCTCTATCCCTATTCACTACAAAGTCTCTCACTGAACCTGGATCTCACTGGCTGGCTGGCTAGGTGATGAGCTCCAGAAATCTACTCTCTACCTCCTGGCTCTTCTATTCAGTCCTCAGGTTATAGGTTTACTACCCATCCCCAGCTGGGTTCTCGGTATCCAAACTCAGGCCTTTGGACTTATGCAACAGGTACTTCACCAACTGTACCACCAAAGTTTTTATATCTTTGTGGCAATAACAACTTATTCAGTAGGATTCTAGATATCTGTAATTATGATAATGTCACTGATTGAGCACTTATCCTATGACATGTATAATATTTCTATTAATTAGGGTTGGGATGAAGGCTCAGTGGGTAAGTGCTTGCTTGCTGCATCAGTGTGGGAACCTGAGTTCAGATCCCAGCACCCATATAAAAGGTTAGGTATGGCCACACACAAATGCCTATAACAACAGTTTTGTGAGGGCTGGAGACAGGAAGATCACTCAGACTTGGTGGCTACCAATCTAGCTCCAGATTGAGTGAGAGGCAAAGAATAGGGCCCCTGACATCTTTCCCTAGCCTTCACATGTAAGCACAGGCACATGTACCTCCACACATACATAACACACACACACACACACACACACACACACACACACCACTTATGCATACACACAAAATATATCTATCATTTGAACCAACATTATGAGGTACATCTTATTAATCATCTATACTTTCTTCTCTCTCTAGGTGATAATCTCTCTCTCTCTCTCTCTCTCTCTCACACACACACACACACACACACACACACACACACACACACACACAGAGTTACATCTTATCCCAATTGTCTTTTCAGTTGTTAATACGTGATTATCAGTATATTTGGAGCATTTATAAACCTGGAGCCAACAGTAACTTCAGCCTCTCTTGGCTTTTCATTCCTAGCAATAATGACTGCATAAGCCTGAAACCTAGGTTAGCATTTAGTTCTCCATGTTGACCAGTGTCCACTTCTGAATCTCACACAAACACACTAGTGTCTTTCTCAAAGTATTTTACTCTAATCAATCTTTGCTTTAAAGAATTCTTTTTAAATTAGGCATTTTTGAAGGCAAGAAAAATAATATCGGATCTATAGATGAATTACCATCATTACCATCACTTGTCTAAAACATGGAGTAAAGAAGTAATAACTGTATCATTCCACATTTGACTGTTAATTTTCACACTAAGCTTGGAATCACAGAAGATGGTATAATTTGCCTCAACAATCATCAAGGAAATCTACAACCTCAAGATTTAATGAAAACAACTGGAAAGCAAAATGTGTATGTAAGTGAAGAAACCATAAGCAGTTCTCTGCTTTATCTGATCTTTACCCATCACAAATCTTTTTAAAAAGTAGCCAAATAGATTTAGCTTCTAAGAGTCACTCTGTAACATAAATGCATAATCTTACTGGTGATAGTGAGGGCCAAGTGGAGGTTCCATGGAAATCTTACCCTTGAAACATTTGGGGACGTCCAGGGTTCCGTCAATGCACTGAGCCTCCTCTGTGTAGCTACACTTCTTCTCTTTGTTTTTGCAGAAGAAAGAAACCTTGTCGCCGTGTTTCATTCCGTTCTTAAACTGCTCCTGGATCTTCACTCTTTCTCCTAGGTACAGCACTGTGGCTTTCTTAATGGATATTTTGCAAGATGCTGAAAGAGAGAATATCTGTAGTCAAGGCAACCGTTGCAGGACTCTGTGTTAAAGAGAATATAGACTACTTATGTTCAGTAAGATGGCTGAGTGGATGAAGGCACCTGCCATCACGCCTCATGACCTCAGTTTAATCCACAAGATCCATGTAGTGGAAGGAGAAAACTAACTTTAGCAAAATTGTCCTCTGACCTTCACACAGGCATCAGGATGCTCATGAGTCCCATACACACACACACATGTGCACAAAAAATATGTAATACAACTTTAAAAAAAGAATTTAAAGTTGTGAGTCAGTAGATGAGACAACTGAGATAAATAGGCCAAGACAAGAGGGTTCAAGAAATTTGTGATGTGCAATGTCAATTTGATTGATGACAGATGTTTCCTGTCAACGTTTCTGCCCTTCAGTAATGGCATAAGGTCAAAAAAACAGCAGATTCTTGGCTTCTGTGGAAGAGAACGTGATGTAAGCCTGAGCTGGTCTGCACTCAGATCTCATTTATGGAACTGATACATCCATCAGTCAACCACCATGGCTGGAAGCTGCTGACAGCTCACAGATGATTCCTGATCAAAAGTTTGTTTCAGGGCCAACAAGAAGCTCAGTGGATAAAGGCACTTACCACCAAGCTTGATGAACGGAGTTCAATGCCCTTGACCACACAGCAGAAGAAAAGAATCAATTCCAGAATGCTGTAGTCTGACCTCCACTTGTGGGTCATGGTACACGTGCATGCACACAGATGCGTGTGCGCGCTTGTGCGCACACACACACACACACACAAGAAAAAAGTAAGAAACTTTTAATTGCTTTCAGCTTCTTCAATTGTTTTACACATGTGTGTGTGCATGTATGTATTCCTGTATAACCTGCTCAGTTCATATAATGTTACTTGTATGTATATAATTTCAGAGCTGACCACTTGGTATTGGATAGCCAACCGGGGTCAGGGACTTTTCCCTGGGGAAGAAAGAATCTTTCTCCCACTTTCAGAACTCCTTAGTTGCCCATAGTTCTTCATCTAGAGTTGAATCCCTGTAAGATTTCCCATTACTGTGACTATTGCTGTCATCCTTGTTCAGGTCTTGTTTAGGCTATTGACACTGTAATGTATGTATGTATGTATGTATGTATGTATGTATGTATGTATGTACAAACCTGGAGGCTGGCTGGCCAGAGAGCTCCAGAAAACTTCCTGTCTGCTTCTCCAGCCCTCCCCTTTCACCCTAGTTTGTATGTAGGTACTTTACTTGCTGGGGTTCTTAACTCAGGTTCAGTGAGCAACCCTGTCTCAAAAAGTACGGTAGGGACTGATTGGGGAAGATACCTAACACTGACCTCTAGCATACACACACTTGTGTAAACACACCAGCAGGAACACATGCATATACCCATACACTCATGTATGCACACACACAAACACGCACACACACACACACACATGCACAGCCGCATTCACATCCCTGGAGGACCTCTGATACACAACAAAGTTTGAGAACCAATGCCCCTCCTATTTTCTCTGTCCTAAAATCTTATATACTGGCTTTATAAATCAATTGCACTTGAACACCTCTCACAGACTCTGCTTCTAAGAGATTCCAACCTATAACACCGGCCATTCATCATTTTGTTTTTGTGCCTCCTTTCCTTTCATGTTTAAACAGTTCAGCTTAGGCAGAGATGGAGTGCTATATGGTTATTCGTTGCATAGCCATTGCTTTATGCAAACCATGGCACTGACTGGACTAAGGACAGATGCCCAACTTAAAAAATTTGACATCTCAGGGAAAGGATGCCAGCTGGTGATGGATGCTTTACATATTGTAGAATCAAGCCAAGTTTAAGCAGGAGAGGGACACAGAGAAGGGACATGTTCTATGAGTTCCTCATTTGCATAGTTTTAATACAACAAGCCACCATTTCCTTGAACTAGATTGGATGTGTGATTGATCTTTGTGACAAAGAGAACCTTGACAAAAAAAAAAAAAAAAAAAAAAAAAAAAAAAAAAAAAAAAAAGAGTGCAAAGTGGGGTGGGTTGAGATGCTCAGGCTGCAGAGATGGCTCAGTGGTTAAGAACATGCACTGCTCTTCTAGAGGACCAGAGTTCAATGTAAATGGAGTTCTTATTTGGTCTAAATAATAAAAAACCCAGAGTCAGAAATAGAGGAAAATGCTGAGAGATCAGAGAGAAGAAGAAGCAAGCCACAACCACCTTTATCTCCTTAGCTTCCCAGCAGAAAAGAAGTGAATTCCTGTTTCTTCCCACTTATATCCCGTCTCTACCCAGCCATCTCACTTCCTGTCTCTGCCCAGCCATCTCATTTCCTGTCTGTCTGTACAGACCTCTATGGTTAGCTAGTGCCAAGCTCCATCCTCTGCTCGTCACACAAGCTTTATTTGTACAAGCAAGACATTACCACAGTTCAGTTCCCGGTCCTTGCATCAGGTGGCTCACAACTGCCCCTAACTCCAGCTTCAGGGAATCTAACACCTGGTACCTGTGAGCACCTGGTGCACACACCTCACCCCCACACAGATGCACACAAGTTTAAACACAGTAAAATAAATACTTTAAAGGGTACCTATGAGCAGATCTAAAAATAAAGATAGGCAGAAACCATGGTCTTCCACCATATTACCAGTGTTGCAGAGAATCTGTTTATTTCCTATAGCTAGACTCTAAGCAAGCTTCTTAAGCTTGAGACTTCTCCGTGTACTATTGAGCTCTTAGGTCTTTTACATGTCAGTGGCGGCAAACCAAGCCCGAGTAACCAGAAGAGAATAAATAGACCAAGGAAGTGGCAAGCCAGAGCGACCCACCAGAGGGATCTGGTGCTTCCCGGGCCTCTCCCACATGCCCATACCTTTACAGCTCGGCAGGGAGGACCAGTTTCCCATCTTGGTGCACTCCACTTCTTCTGGGCCGTCCAGGTTGTATGTTTCATGGCAACCAAAAGTGGCTTTATCCTTATAAAGAAGCACTGGTTTTGCAGGATAATTCACGAACCCATTGTCTGGCCTCGACGGGAAGGGGCATTTTACTTCTAAAAAGTGTATTCAGTAAGACATGTTAGTAGCTAGCCGTGCTGTCTGGCAGTTGCCAAGTGGCAACGTTCTTCCCTTCACTACACCACGGAATCACTGGATACTCCTGTAAGTGAAACGCAGTTTCTAGGTGCCAGGTGCTTAATTCTGTGCCCATTCTCTTATACTTACAGAACCCTGAAAATTAAAGAAGGAAAGAAAAGAAAGAAACACATTTTGAAAGTAAAATAATGATACCCTGCTAGCTCTTTGGGCTTTGAGTTTTCATCATGAAATGTCATTTGCCGTAAATTTCTACAGTCTAAAAAGTGGGTATGGAAAGCGGGGGTCTTTTTTTTTCTAGTCAATAAAGCAGATTAAAAAGATACTGCAATGATTTTTTAAATTTAGATACATTATAAAGTCATAGCCGTAAATCAGACTAAAACCCAGGTTTTTATAAAACCTTCATCCCTTTATTCAGGCATCTTTTCACCAGCCTCACTGGTGTCCAGCTGTCACTAGACCCAAGTCCATTCATGCCTCCGGCTTTACAAGTGACATGTCCCTGCATAGCATGCCTTTCCTTCAGCATCACTTATGATCCAAAGCCCATATCAAGGTCTTGACCTTTGGAAATACCACTCAGTCGGTCTTAGACTGTTAGGTGCATGATATTTAATTGATTGCAGGTCAGAAGCTGAACTCATTCATCGGTTATCCCTTGTACAAATCACACTGCCTGACACGTGGCAGGTGCTCAACAGACATATACTGTGGCGGTGCACACCTATAATCTCAGCGTTTGGAGGTGGAGACGGGAAGATCAGGAGTTGGAGTCCAGTCCCAGCTACACAGTGAGTTTAAGATCAACCTGGCACTATTGTTGTATAGAACTGTCTGCTGGATTGAATTTTTCCCTTCTTACAGGGGGAGATGTTCATAAGATCCAAGAGAACACGGGACTGCACACAGCCCCTCTCCAAGGTTGCGTGAACAGGAGCGATTGCTGGGAGAAAGAAAACTCTCCTGCTGGTGGCACAGCCTGCAAGTTGGGCAGAGAGCATCAGGGATGCAGCTTTCTTAAGTCATCATCCATGCGTGCTGCAATGAATGTTTCAGTGATGCAATCACCTTTGAGTTACTCATGGAGTATTCATGCAACCCCTTGCTCATGCTCCTATAAGTAACCACAATAGACTCTCCAGTTTCCTAGACTAGACTTGGGTGGTATCATTTCTTTGGTCCTGTCATTGGTGTCTGCTCTGTGATAAATAAATATTGTTCATGTCTCTCTATTAAAAGTAACACAAGAGGTACTCAAGACTGTTTCTTAAAACAAAATAAAAAGAAAACAAAAAGCAAAATAATTTAAAAGTTTGTCAAGGGAGAGGATTCGGAACATCCCTGGTAGTTGGCATTTCAACACTTCCAAATATGTGCTTCTATGCTACTCTAATTATTTTGTCTTAGACACTTACCCCTGCATTCTGGCAATTCAGTCCAGTTTCCATGGGCTGTGCACGTAACTGTGTCATTTCCAAACATGGCATAGTGTGGCAAGCACTCAAAGACTGCTGTGTCCTGATAGAGCGAGGTGTTCCCAGATGATGGCTTGTGAAACTTAAGGGTTGCAAACTTAGGAACTGGTGGTGGTGGGCAGGTGACCGCTGCAATGAGAGATCACTGTTACCTCTAGGAAAATAGTTGGGGTTTTGAAATGCACTCTTAGAAGGCAGGTGGATATCTGTGAGTTTGAGGCTAGCCTGGTTTACATAGTAAGACATTGTCTCATAAATAAATGCATAAACTCTGTAGCTGGCAACATGTCTCTGTGTGTAACAACAAATAACTAGCTGCCACACTTGATAATTGGAGTTCCATTCATAGGACACACATAGTGGAAGAGAGATCTAAACTCTCATGAATGGTCTTCGAACCTTTACACATAGGCCAATAAATGAATGTAACTTAAAAATTAAAACACATTCTTTTCAGAATAAAAGAGAATATGAGAATGAACTTTAAGGGAATGAAAACTTTGATAATAGGGTAAAAACAGTTCATTGTTAATGGTAAGTAAGAAAAAGTCAAACCAAATTGCCAACAAGTCAAAAACCATGCCAAAAAGAGGAAAAGAAGGACAATGACAAGGAGGTGAAGGTAGTGAGTGTAGCAGCAATAGTTTTGTTTTGTCAGAGTTAGTTTGACTTTTGCAGCCAGAGGTCTATGCATCTTTGACCTAAAGGCTACCTTGAAAGATGTTTCTGGAAAGCAGAATTTATGGAAGACATTGCTGAGACTATCCTGAAGTATTTAGTGTCATGTTGTTTGTGACATCTGAGTTCTGCCCTTAGTACAATTTGCTTGTTTTTATTAAACACCTCCTGCTTTGGGACTGAACACATGGAGGCTTACACATACAGAAATGCAAGGGCCCAGGACAAGGCAATGACTTATCATCCTCCCTTGACAAATAAAGAGTTTCAACAAATTCAGGGAAAGTTACACCAATATAAAGACACTGCTGACGAAAATGCTATTTAATGTGACCTATCTCAGCCCTCCCTATCTCAATCCTCCCTCTCTCAGTCAGTTCTTCATTCTCAGAGAGTGCTCCATGGACTCACAGTCAGGGAAATGCCTGGCAGCCTGAGAAAAGCTCAGAACACACCCAAGATGCCTGAATCAGCATCTACATGTTAGCAAGATGCCTGGTGGTTGGTATGCACACCCAAGCATTAGAGTTACTCATTAAGATTAGATTGAATTTTAAGTAGCTTTTCTATTCTTAACTGGAGGGGACAAAGATGAGTTTACATAATTGATATAAAGACGATTAAAAGGGGAGACTATTTACATGAACCATGGTGACCCTTACTACTGATAAAGAACTCAATTTATCTTTAAGTCGTTCTTGAGGTTTGGTTTTAATTTGGTTAGGATTTATTTATTTATTTTTGGGGGGTGTAGGATAAAATGTTTCTTTTTTATGTTTTTTATTTGAATTAGAAACAAGGTTGTTTTACATGACAATCCCAGTTCCCTTGTCCCTCCCCTCCTCCCCTACCACCTCCCCAACTAAAACCCTACCTATCACATATCCTTTCTGCTTCCCCTGGATGGTGAGGCCTTCCATAGGGTGTCATCAGAGTCTATGGTATCCTTTGGGATAGGACCTAGGCCCACCCCACCCCCACCCCCGTGTGTCTTGGCTCAGGGAGTATTCCTCTATGTGGAATGGGCACCCAAAGTCCACACCTGTGCTAGGGATAAGTACTGAACAACTACAGGAGGTCCTGTAGATTTCTGAGGTTTCCTCACTGAAACCCATGTTCCTAGGGTCTGGATCAGCCCCATGCTGGTATCCCAGCTATCAGTCTGGGGAGCAAGAGTTCCCCGATGTTTATTTAGGTCAGCTGTTTCTGTGGGTTTCACCAGCCTGGTCTGGACTCCTTTGCTCTTCACTCGTCCTTTGGCTAGGATTTATTTAGAATCACTTTCCTACTTTCATTTGCCAGGATGGGGGGATGGGTGTCACTGAAAGGTTAAAGGACCACATGCACTACTGTGATGCCTGGGCCTCTTAGTCAAAGATTAGACTTCTGTGCATCTCAAGCTAGGATACCTGAGAAGACTTGTCTCTATAGAAACAGGTCCAGAGCTGCCCCTGACTGCTTAATTGAGCAGAACTTGACTAAGTCATGAGGTCCTTGCTCTGAAGATACAAGGTGCTTGGTGCTTAGTGTGAAGGGACCTTCCTTCTCCCTGTCAGTGGACTCATTGCCTTGGGGCAGAGCTATCTCCTTTAGCCCTATAGGCTCAAGATCCAGTATCTGGATCCTCAGTTCACATTTGTTAAAGATGGGAATGAATCACTGCATTAGTAATGAAGAAGTATGCACTAATGAGGAAGAAGAGATGTTTGAAACCACTGCTGCCAGAAGTTCTCCTTGTCAAGACTGGTGGTTTTCCATGAGGGCTAGAGCACTTGCCTACCCTGTACAAGACCCTGGGTTGGCTCCCCAACATGACATAAAGAAAAAAAACCCAAGTTCTTCTAACCAGACTATGTCAGGCCATGATAGAGCAGTGACAAACCTTGACTTTGCCTAAATAGTGAAGGAGCTTTGTAGTTAACAAACACAGCAGGTACTGGTCCACCCTGGGAGAAGATACACATTAGTTCACAACTAAAATGCTTCTAGACCGCAGCCACTTGACGGCAGGTTGTTGCCTCTTCTAGAATACAATGATACCAAGCTGAACATCCCCATGAGAAACCAAGCATCCATCTCACTAAACCAGGCCTGAAGTCTCTGGGAACAAGGAGTTTCTGGATTGTGGAACTGGCAGTACTAAAACCAGGGAATTTCTGGACAAACTAATTTGTCCTTTAACTCTCCAGTGGGACTTAGAGACTCACGGGCACAGACAGGAAGCTCTGGGCTCCATCTTCCTTCCTCAGTGCACTTAGCAGAGCTAGTTCCATTCAGAAAAAACCTGAAAAGGGGAAATGTAGTGAATTAACCAGTAAGGTGTCTCACTGGCATCATGTGCTAGGGATTGCATTCAGGGCCTTATATGTAGAAAATATGAGTTCTACCACTGAGACACCCACCATTAACCCTATTCATTTGTTTTGAGGCAGGGTCTCACTATGTTGCCAAATAAGAAAATTCAAGAGATTTCCCCCACCTTAGTTTCCTCAGTAGTTTTCACTAGAGTCATGTGCTATTATACTCCTCAATGTATTGACCTCTCTCCCACCCTATGGTACTGTTTTTCTAAGGGTCTCTTAGGAGTGGTCCAGTCAGACTTCAGTCAAAAAAATCACTGGTGGCTTCTGTAGTTGGTGAGTGTAGAGGCCATACCCTTAAATCCTCATTTCCAATCAGTTGGCCAAGTTATCAGTTCCCTATATATGGTTGAGAGCCAGCCCTTTGCTGGGTGACAGAAGTGAAGCAAGCTGTAATGCTCATTATCTCAGCACTACTGGCATGCATCTATTTGAACAATGCATTACTCATTGCCAATTCAAGTACAGTACTAGCCCTGGACGGGTGTTTCTGATCAGCCCCACCAACAACTTGGCATTTCTTTGGAAAGACCCATGTTTCTCCTTCCCAAATGGAGTATCCAAGTCTCCATTCCCAAACAAGGATCTTCAAGATAATTGTCACAATGTACAGCAGCCCCCCAAAGGGAGTGGCACTACTAGGAGGAACGGTTTTGTTGGAGTGAGTGTGGCCTATTTGGAGGAAGTGTATCATTGTGGGGGAAGGCTTTGAGGTCAAGATATGCCCCCCTCCATTCTCAGTTCACTTCCCATTGCCTGCTAGAGGTAGAACTCTCAGCTACCTCTCCAGAAACATGGCTGCCTCTACACGTCCATGACGATAATGGACTGAACCTCTGAACTGTAAGTCACCCCATTAAATGTTTGACTTGCTGTGGTCATGGTATCTCTTAACAACAATAGGACATTGAGTAAGACAAAAGTCTTTTAAAGAGAAGTTCTGTCTCACCACATCTTGAATCTTCTTCACAGAAATGCCTTCTAAAGACTAACTACCACATTGGTCAATCAGTCTCCTAACTAAAAGCCAAGTCACTTCTTATTATGTTTTAATCATTTGCTAAGATCTGGCCCAGAGATGAGAAGGGATTACCACTTAGGCTCATTAATCTTCACTGTGTTTCCTCAGATAAGTCATTAGTGAGAAGCACAGAAACTGGAGTGCCAATTTCCTATTGTACCTCATGTAATGTTCTCTGCTTCTTGCACCACCCTCCACATCATCACAGTGTTTGTTAAAAACAGGACTAAAATGTGTTTGTATCCAGCAAGTCCCACCCAGAGGCTAAACCTAAAATACAGAGCAATTTTGATGTTGACCTAAGAATCCAGAAGTGTGCTCTGTCTGACAGATGTTTTACCTCATTAGAGTCCTTACCCAGTGTTACAAGTGAAGCTGATGGTGTTGGGATATTCAAAAGTTGTATAGCGTACAACTCCATTTTCTAAGATTCCAGCAAAAGGACATACTCTGGCTGCAATATAAAGAGAAAAATTGGTTTCTATTGAAGTATAAATATGTGAACTCATTTCCATCCTTGATCCAATAACTACTACTAACTATTCAAAGAAAGCAATCAAAATAAGACAAATAACACATGTGTCACGATAGTCTTTATAACAGAATTTGGACAGTCATTGTTATGGGATTGTTTTAATTAGACAAACTAAACCACAAATTGAACTATTTGCAGCCAATAAAACACAGTTTGTAAAGGTTATAGAGACAGTCAATTTTTACAATATGCTGATAAAAATAGAAAACAAAATTAAATATATTCTCTATAATGATGCAAAAAGCATGTGGAAAATATGTTAAAATGGCACTATTAGTGATCAGAGTTATTGCTGATTTAAAGTGGTTTTTCATTAAAGTGGATTTTCATGCTTAAGTGTTAGGAGTGTGGCTTGGTGTTGGCTCACATTCTTATCCTACATAAATCTCTAGATTTAATCCATAGTACTTCCAAAATATAACCCACCTAAATTTATAAAAACAAGGAACAAACTTGAATCACTTGCAAGAACATATATAATTATTATAAAAGGCATGTCTATATAATCAAAATAATTAGAGCCCTGATTAATCCACCTAGTTATTTTTGCTACTGTACAAGATTGCCAGAACCTCAATCTGGTTGACTGCTTAATATTTTGCCATAAAAATTAGGCTAAATGCTAGGTGTGGTGGTTCACATCTGTAATTCCAGCACTCAGGAGGCAGAGGCAGGGGGATCAGAAGTTCAAGTTCATCCTCAGATACATAGTAAGTTTGAGGATAGACTGGAATACATAACACCATGTTTTAAAAAAAAGCAGCTAAAATGATCATAAACCATGTTCTGAGGAATAAATGAAGACAACCATTTATCATAAAATAATATGTTCTGAAACCTGTTATCAAAGTGCAACGTGTTTATATTTTATTGTAAATATACAAATATATACATAACTTAGATTCAATTATACTCAGCTCGGTGAATATGAAGTATGCTTCCATTCTGAGGTGAAGTCCAAAGATGTGATCATTTCCCAAGTCCTATTTACCCATGAGTCTCTTTGGCAACAGTTCCTCTGTCCACATTTCTCCACTTGCCTTTTAACTTGGGTTATGCTTGCCTCTCCACTAATCAATCCAGGTATCTCCCCTCTCTCAACCTTCCTTAGGTGTCCTCTTTTTTAAATAGTGTTTTTGTTTGGTGTGTGTGTGTGTGTGTGTGTGTGTGTGTGTGTGTG